ATTCCTTGGGAAAAATACCACAGGTTTCCATAAAGAGGTGTAAGGAGGAAGCCATTAGTAGAATACAGCAAGTTTTCATGATCCTATAATACCTAGCACTATGTTAGCCAAATTCTAACTCTACCCCTGGGCTTTCTTGCAAGGAGAAAACCTGGGGAAAATAATACTGAAGAATAATTCTTCTCCTGTAGCACAAATCATTGATAATTGTTCTTCATTAATAAGGCCATTTACACACATACTACAGTCCAATTATCAGGCATAATTAATCATAATAAACTACAGGCATGACACACTCATAGATTTTCTCATGAATAATAGGAATATTGTTAGCAAAGAAAAAATGTATTCAAGTATATACCTTATTATTGGCTATTAGATCAGGAAGACATTACTTTTCTCTTACAGCTATATTTCAGACAAAATAATTAATATATAAAATAAAAATAAAGGTGATCTGACCTTCAATGACAGACTTTGTTCTCAGAAACTCAGAAACCTGCCTTTAATTGCCTTTAATTTCTTCCAGCAATCCCTGACCATCAGACTTTCCTCTGTTAGACACCACTGTGAAATCTAGTTTATGGTCATGGATAGAAAACTGGGAATACTTGAGGTTATACAAAAATAAGTACATTGTTACATACCTACACTGCTGCAGTATGTAACACTTTACCTTCCTTCAAAGTATTTTTTTTTTGCACTGTGATTAAAAGAAGAGCAAAAATAAAATCTTTGCTTTCAGAATGATTAAAGGTAGTGAGTCAGCCATGAGTCATGAGCGGAGAGAAGGTAAAGCGCCGTTAGATCTGAAATCACAAATGCTGCTACGTGAGGCTATAGAGTAATGCCATTATCTTCAAATAACAGCCTCATGACCTCAATGCCGACAGACAGCAGCAAAAGACATGATCACACTCAGAAAGTTAATAACCTATTCTTTGATCTAAAAAATTGTAGTTCAATTGTCTTACCGTATTTTTCTTTCCTGGCAAACATCTATAATTGTAATTTATGTGCTGATAAGTACTTGCATTCAAGATTTGTGGAAAAAACCTAAGTAGTCGAAAACACCACAAATTCCATAGTGTTTAAAACGGTCCATTATTTTCTTTATTAATTTAATCTCTTTTTAATCAAACATTGTTATTACTGGGCTGTATCTGCCACATTAAAATCAGCAGGTTAGAAAATGATCCACAAGAGCTGCAGGGGTATATCCTGGAGCAAAGAGACAGTGACAGCTAAAGCATGGTGCTGAAGGGACCAAAAGTAACTACAAGGAATTAATAACAAGGTAGCAGGAGAGTGAGTAGAAAGTGGGGAAAGGACAGAGCCATATTACTGGAATTTAAATAGAAAATGAATCATTAGAGGAAACTAGACAAATACAAGTGAAATAAATATAACAGTAACAATGTCTGAGCAGTGTATTGGGGTTTTTTGAATATTAAGATATCAGACTGATAGGAACAGTAAAGAAAGTAGGCACCTTTAGGTAAGTATTTGCTCTCATAAAATAGAAAATAATAATTAAGAAAGTAAAATAAAATAAAAACAATAAAGTAAAATATTTGTGGATATAGAATATAACACTATGTACCTCCACATATAACAAACCTAAGGCAAGAAAGGAGAGGATATTTTACAAGATGAATAAACACTAGAGCAAGAAAGAGAAAAATGGTGAGAAAGAATAAAGGAGGAAGCAGTAAAAATATATCAAGGGGTGGGGTGGAGAGAATTCATTTTGTATCACTTTTCTGTGCCAAGCCATAAACACAAGGACACTCCGCAGTTCATTCTTACTCAATGTTTCCACATTTTTCTGCTGTTTTCCATAGGTGGGGCGAAAAAGACAAAGAATGGAGCCAAGCTTTCCATTTGCCTTGATACTAACATGGAAGTGCTTCTCCAGCATGGGAGATATCTTATTTTTGCTTTATGTTGTGGTTTGCACCTCAATTTCAAATATGGCATTTTAACACTTGTTTTCTCTATAGAAAGAGAAAATCCTGGAAGTCCACAGTACATCTCTTGTTTGCTTTGCCCCATCTGCTGGGGCAGGAAGGCAGCAGGGCACACAGTGGTGAGGTCTGCGTGTGCTGTGAGTTATTGAGGGTCAGGGCCCCTCAGAGAGCTGGCTTGGGGTCTGCTTTGTTTGAATTCCAAACTGATTTGCTGGTCACACACCAGCAGGGAATCCGGAAACTCAGCAGAACTCTGCCTCATAGGCATTGTATATGCCTGTGCTGGAAACAGAGGTCTTATGGAAAAAGGGTAGACCAAGAATATTTTTTTCCCATTCAGCACTAGCAATCCCATGCTTAAAAACTATGAGTCAAGCCTCATGTAATCATTGGGGTTTTTTAAAAAGGAAATATTTTAAAATATTACTGATTAAAATCTTGTTTGCCTTTTAATTTTGAACTTTTTATAGGTCCTGTTTTCAGCAGGCAAAAATATTTCTTTATTCACATTTCAGAGGCCAGAGTTTTAAGAAAAACTTCAAGTAAAGGAAACATAGTTTACATAATAGACAATGCTTTGAGTATTCTCTGAGAGTTACTATTCTCCTTGATGAATACTAGATTGCTAAGACTTTGCTTTTTTTGCCACAAATTAAACAGCAAATAAGAAAAATCCAAACAACTCTTACCTTTAGTGACATGCAGTTTAGCAATTTCTTATCAGACTGCATAAATTCCTGAAAGCTCACAGACATTTGGCTGTAAAAAAGCTTTAAAATATCTGATCAACTACCCCCTTTAGGTAATGGTTTGAGCAATGATGTCCTTAGTCCTGCAAATCTGAGAGAAAACTGAAGACAACAAAGAGAAAGTGCCCTGAGTCCTTTATATCTGGTAAGTATAGGTTACAGCTTTAACTGTCAGCATTTATCCAACAAAGTGCTCTGGTTTTATTACACCAGAAAGGATACGATGTTAGCCATTCTCAGGAATAAGCAATTGTGCAACTCTGTTACTTTTAATCAATGCACCTCACCAAAGCTTGAATTGTAGTAAATATTACATCATTCTTGTTTTCATACAGGGAATGCTCTGCCCTGATCCTGAGGTCAGCAGCAAGCTTTTTGGTGACTTGAATGGCGCAGGGTCAGGTCTCAAGTGACACAGGATTCAGCTGCTTACTTATGGGTTTTCAGTAACTTGATATTGCTGTGTACATAGTCCAGGAAAGGCCATGTGTAGGGATGTGACTGTACAACAGCTGGTAGGAGCAGGGAATTGCTTTATAACAGTCTTGATGAAAAAAGTTCTGTTTATCCACATTCTTCTCCTAAGGTGTATCACTGGGGACTTCAATAACCAACAAGAACAAAAGGAAGTCTTATGCAATAGTGCAAATTACAAACATTATTTATGAAGTTTCATGCTTGGACATGTGAGGCTAAGCTGTTAAACTAGAACATTTTTCTTTCTAAACAACCTGAAAAAGTGGTTTACCAAAAGAAAGATAGCTACTTACACAATATCTGTTAGTTCTACAAAATATTTTGTCCTCACACTTCTGTCCTCCCTGTAAGTGAAATAATTCACCTTATTTCACTTGATCCCATATGATTGTTCAAACCACACAACGTAGTCAAATTATGAAGACATAAGTTATGGAATATTAAAAAACTGAGGGGAGAAGGCTGGCTTAACAAAATATCATGGTAGCAATGACAATTGTTTGCAGTTTGCATTAAATTAATTGAATTAACTGCATGATATATATTAACTGCACATAATTCAACTCAGTGGCAAACTGGTCTCCAAAGTCTCCTGACTCCTGACTCCCACCCAGACACCTCTGGGATAATTATTTCACTCTTTGCAGTGGATATAAAGACAGCATGAACCAAATCCAGTAGTGATGTTAGGTGCCAAAAATATGATATAATTTATATTTTAAAAAAATTTGTGACAAGCAAGTTGACAGGGATATAGTTACCACATAGCCACTGAAAGAATGGTGCAAAGGTGGTTCTAAGAGCTTGTCCCTGGAACTCTCTTCTCCAAGAATGGCAAATCCTACCTTCCAGTCTGTAGCCAAAGGATTGCTTATACATACCTGGCTGATGTTATTGTGAAGCACAGGAGTCCTGGACACCCATCATGAGTCTGTTCAAGCCTTCAGTTGAAGGAGCTGTTCGCAGACCCTACTCATCAGTATGCAATGGAAGGATGCTGCCCCTCTCCTGCACCTTGCTTTCAAAAAACCTATACACAATGGCAAGTCCCTGGAAGCAGGAAATTTGGATCTAAAAACCCCTGGAAAAGTGGAAATTTTTTTGGCCTCTGCTTTAATGACTAGGTTGTCCTCATCAGACACATACTATACGTGCTCTTGAAATCACATTCCTTTCCTCTTGCAAATACATGACATTCATTAAGACAGCTTTAAAAATAATTTAATTTTACTTAATTCCTGATTGTTGCCCCTCCAAAACTGCCAGTTTTCAAATGCATAAAATGTTAAATTTTTTCCATCTTCCTGTCTCTTTGAAGGATTTATTTCAATAAAGAAACTTTCAATATGATTCTTTATTATATTAAACTGACCATATCACCATGACAAATTTGGAAAACACAGGTGTAATAACTCACAGGGCCACATAAGAACTTGGTAATTTTCTTGTACTTCTGGAATCAGATTCTGTTATTTTTTAAAATTATATATTAAATAACATATAATTAAGGTTCCTTGCAATCCAAGCATTTTGATGATTCTATTTTACAATTAAGATGATACTATCAATAGACAGTGTGACAATTTTATATAAATAACATTCTGAAAATTTATTAGAAACATCCTTTTCCATGGACAGTGGCATCTGTTACAGCTAGAGACTGAAAAGATGAGTTAATTCAAAGTAGATTTTCTAAATCTGAGATGTCTGTTACACTGCCATGAAAATGAAATTGGTAAAAAATGAAATGGGAAAAAAAGCAGAACACAAACTTAAACACATTTTTAAATCCAGGTATTATTACTAGTTTGAAGCATCAAGACTCCATTTTTTAGCTACTTGACTTTAAGCACTTCTAAAAGGCTTGGAGCCAAAAAAAAAAAAAAAAACTGGATGACTGTGAGGAAAGAAAAACAACCTAGATCCAGTATTTTTGCCAGTCCTGCTGTTTGGAGACTCCCTCTACCATTTGTATTTAATTTTCCTATCTTAGTACACACCATCTTTCCAGCAGCTTCTGAAAGACAAGACATGCATCTCCCCTGACATCACCCAGCAGGAAACTACCAGAAATTAAGGGCCCAGCCTCGCAAATATATTGTCACATGAGTGTCAGTGGGATACCCATGTGTAGATCCTGGTTTGATCACTCTCTGAAGTTGGCAATGCAGGTGTATTCTGTAAATAACTCAGCCTAAGCTGCATGTCTGCATAATACAACGCACGCATCAGACAATTTTATTGAAGATGTTTCAACTCATACTAGGTCAAGTTATTTTACCATGCTGTTTTTAATCATTTTCTTACCTCAACTACTCATCCTCATGTAGCTGTATGCTATGAACACTGAATTGGGCATGACATGGAGATTCTAGTGTAATTCAATCATTACAGAAGAAATGACATTCACATATGTTTATGTTTAGCCTCAATAAGGAGACAGTCAATCACTTTATACCAGGTTACATCAGATATGATTTTAATTATTCCTCTTGTGAAAAACACTTTTCACATATTATTACTAACAAAATCACTGCAAAAATTAAAATAGTTTTACATGGTTTTGAAGAATTTGTAATCCTATGAATGCAAAAATCTATGCTGTGCATGAATATTTTATTTAAAATGTGATGAAATTAAATATTTCTTTAAAAAAATCAAATAAAATTATTATACTCCCTTAGGAATCTTTCAATCCTTCATAGAAAATCACAAATCTCTCATATTATAAGTGAACTAATTGCAATACAGCATGATTCATGGTTGATTAATTCCAAGAAACTTAGAAGGTTATTCTGAAGTGCTGTTTCCACATTGAAGGTGATAGATCTGCTCTTTCAGTGGTGTTTATCTTTGAATGAAGTGATCCGCTTCATAATTTGGATTCCCCAGAATGCAGCAGAGAGGGAAAACAAGACCTACAACACAGAATTTACAATGAGAATGAGATACATTATATGAGGTTGATTTGGTTTTTTGGTTTTTTTTGTTTTTTTTTTTTAGTTTTTTTGATCTGTGAACATAATGAATGAGTGAAAACAGAGAATTTGAGAAAAAAACCCCAAGAATTCTAAGTATACTGATAAATTCACTTTAGAAAAAGATGCTTTCTTTTCTCTACTACTCTTTATTGTGGACATTCCTGATGAATTTAGACAAATGATCTGAAGAATGCTGACACTGTAAGTGGCATGATAAGGCATGAATAACCCTTAACAGGATCTATAGCAAAAGAAGTGTTCTAATTGCAATACAATACGTATTTATTCCCCAACCTGCTGTTTAGGATGAGATATAAGGTAGATGGAAAACAACTTAAAAGTGCAATACTCTTTGCCTTGTCCTTAGCTCTCTGCAACTTAATTTTGTTTATTTGGTGAGTTTATTGAGAGATCTAATAATTTTTTTTCAAGATTTATTTGCTGAAAACTGCATCAGGATGAGTAGTAAAGATTTCAGAATAAAGTCCAAATTAGGTGATAGTTCTGTCTAGAACCCTCAATGGAGCAAGATAAAATGTGTATGCACACGGGTGCATGTGATATTTTGTATTTAACATTTTCTGAAAAAAAAACTTTTGTCTTTCACATAGAAAAATTTCTCTAACTTGGAAAATTGCAAAATCTAGGCAGTTGTTATTGGTTACTGAAGTGAATTTTTTTCCATGAGTAAAACAAAATAATTTGTTTATACTGAAAGATATTTTAATAATGTAATTTTTTGCTTGTTAAAAGAAACAGAACATTTTGACAAGAAATTTTTGAGTCAGGTTGTAATAATTCTTTTTTCAGATCAATCTCTAATCTAAAGGTGCTGACTAGGAGAGCTCTAATTTTAACATTAATATAATTTAACATTTGACATTTAATAATGCATGGCCCAAAGGTCTACTTCTGTCTTTATCTAGACAGTCACTCACTGAAGTACATGGGATCAGAATGTCCAACATAAATAATAAATTATCATAATACCCAAAAGGTACTAATTTTTCACTCAGTGAAGGCAGTGTCTGCTCTGATCGCTCTCAGAATCTTTTTGGGACAGGTACAGGCTTCATGCAATGTGTACTTTAGGTGTACAATATGCATGTTTAGTACTACAAGATGAAAAGAGCACAATGTAGGAGTAAGTAAACTAACTAAGTAAAATTCAAATAAAATACAACTAAAATCCCCCAATTCATTAATCTTTTTCTGAATTTAAATTATTTTCATTAAAGGGTTTAATTCTACTTGAGCAGGGGTAGGCTGTCTACTGTGTTTAAAACCTCCAATGACGCTGTTGGCACTGTACTTGTAGTCCTATTTGCAGGAAAGACTCATAAAGTGCTCACCAAAAGATTTTTTTGGTAAGAATTTCAGACTTTAGGTATGAAAAATTTAACTTCTTTTTATTTTCTTGCATTATCACAAACGCCTTGTAAAGCTGTATAGGTCTATTTTCACAGCTATGGAAAGTCTTTTTAAGCAGTACTGCAGTCACACACTGCATGTTTGATGAGATTTTTCTATGCTGAGATGCTCTGCAGAAGAACTCTAACTGCAAATAACTATCTGTATTTCTTATCTGGCTGCTATGCAATTGAGATGAGTATAAATTGTGATGTACATAAAACAATGACTTACATAAAACATGCTCTTACTGTGGAAAAATTCTGTCTATCTCCAGAAACAGAACTTATCCACTTGTCATAATTAGTACTTCTTTGACAGATTAATAAACTTCTTTCATTCCTCACCTCAGAAAGATCATTCCTATTCCTGGAAGATGCATTAAATATAGAACTGTTTCATTTTTAGAAGAAGCACATTTAATGACTGAGGTGCAGGGCATTCGTAGGGGATTAATGACTGTTGGGAGATGATGATGATCACCTGAAGAAGCACAGCCATGGGCCATTAAGCCCCAGGAAATGTCCTCAGCTAAAGATGGTTACTGCTATTATAGCCTGAAAATGAACAAAATATCTCAGGTGAATTTCTCTTTTTTAAATGAAGTGATGCAGTTTCTTCGTTCTTAATTAAATTCTTCACTGTGAATTTCCTAAAGCATGCAATCAATGCTTGTGGGGGAGTATTTAGAATTGCAGTTATTATAGCCAGAATGGAAAATCACATACTGCACACTGTGGATCTGCAAAACTAGTTTGGTTTCAATTCTATAAAATATATCAATTCTATAAAAGTATTGACTCACTGCCCATCAATGTCAGGACTGCCAATATTTGATGGAAATAATGCATTCGGAAAACAATAATGCTGCAAGGTTCTGTGAGGTGCAGGGGCTAAGAAAAACCCAAACAGCAGGATAAAAAATTAAGGGGCCACATCCTTGCTTGCATGACAGCAATTCTGGCTGTCTGTACTGCTGTAATGCTGACCTGCCCTGAACAGAGCCAGCTGTATGGGGCTACCAAGCAGAAACTTGCTGTGTAGGTTGGAGTTGAGTTTCTTTTGATTGCTGCTACATATTTTGGAGTTACAAGGCATGACCCACTTGAATGAATCGTGCAATCGGGTGATGTCAGGAATGGAAAGCTGAGACGATACCTGCCAGAACTCAGAGCAGACAATAGTGTGGGCAGCAGGAAGCAGCAAAGAGCATTCCACCAGGCAAGCTGAACTATAGTTGACCAGTATTTTTCTAATGCCCTTGAGAAAACATATTTCCTGAAACCTATGTGCAGATATTTTGTATTTTCTATTCAGCACTCTCACATGCGAATGGGTTGGGGGGTTTTTTTGGCTGTTTGGCTTTGGGTTATTTAATTTTCTAAATTATTTTCACAGAAATATTAATTCCTTCTTATATTGTCCAAACCCACTAATACTTGTCCTTTGATAAAAATATTCACATACTGGTTTCATAATTCATCTGGTTTTGAAATCAAGAGAGAATTTAGTATTATACCTTTTCCTTTTTTACACTGAACAAAGCCTCCCTCACCAACAATATGACATAAGAACAATAGTTTCATTTCTGTCTTAAAATGAAATATTACTGTTGACAGTATTCATATATGGAAGAAGTCTAAAAGCAGGATTTCTCACAACCCTATATTTAGCCAAGTTAAATGCAAACTTTTTGCCACTTTAATATAAACACTTGTTACATTTACCTGTTCAAGTAACTACAGATTAATTATAGACTGTCCTTTAGACTGCTGGAAGAGCACAAATATTTACATTACCTCCTTTCATACAGTCTATTTCCATACAGCCCATATTCTCTCCCTGAATTGTAGAAATGCAAATAACATTATTCACAAGAACAAAGATGGCTTAACTAATGGATTGACTGCAGGACTGAGTCTGCTATTCACAGGAAATTCCCACTGGAGCAATCGAAGTTTATTAGGCTCTAAAGTACTTTAAAATCATTAGCTGAATTCAGACACCCACTTCTGCATGATTAGCTTTGTTGCTGAACACTAATGTTGTTTTCTGCCATTTTCTGTTTTGTAATGTCTTTGTATATCTGAGATGCCTAGACATGATGTCTTTCTTTTCTCCTGCAGATTTCATCTGGATAGAATTAGAAGGCTTTAGACATTGGTCTAAAAATGTAGACAAATATCCAAAGGTAGTTCTGCTTTAAGGAGGGGGAAGAGTCTTGAACCACACCACCTCAGATCCTTTCCAACCTAAATCATTCAATGATTCTCTGACATTTCTCAGATTCTGCCCAGATATGTTTGCTCCAAATTTTGCTGCAGAGACAATCTGCAACTGTTATTCACAACTTGTGGGGTACAACATCATATTAATGGGCTTATTATATTGAATTGTCTGAACACCTCTGTGCTGGATAATATATTCTTAGCTCTGGAGATGGCTCAGGAAGATCAGCACATCCACATATTTCATTAAGTTTGCTAGTCACATCATACAGTGGACCTGATACTAGTTAATATGATAAACAATTAGTCCTCTCAATGTGATGCTGAGCATTGTCAGTGTGATACTACAGTAGTTTAACTGATACTAAACATGATTAAGGCTCTTTTTATGTTCTTTATATACAAATTTGGACATGGCTTCTTCACAGGTATGAGACATAACTTCATACCATCAATAGTAATGATAATGTAATTTTTAGACATCGTCTGAGACTCTGTCTGGACTGTGTCTGGGTAATGTCACTGTCCTTTCAAGCTAAAAATGGAGATAATAAACTGATAAAAAGGCTGAAAAAATTCTAATATTAATAACAAAATGATTGAACAAACCACTCTAGATTTCACAAGTAACCAAATGATGCATTTTTCACCAATACCATATTTTTTCCCCATTTCTCTACAAATGACTGTTACATTACTTCTGTGCTGAAATACACAGAAGAGACAGAAAATTTATGTCTTGTAACTAGGGGTAGATGTTTAATATTTCTGGAAGTCAGGATTTGGATAACAAATGCATGTATCTTCATTCTCAGTACAATGTTTGGAGACGAGTAGTCTGAGGCTAGTAGAGAAATGCCATAACATTAGTAGCAAATCCAGAAATCACTAATCTTGTACAGTGCACAGACCAAGAAGATTGCACTTTAAAAAAAGTGGCAATAATAATAGACGGAAAAGAGAAGCTAGGAAACAGGAAGGCTCCTCCTCTATGTGATGACTCTCTCATACTTGGAAATATATGCAGAAGAAAGTGGAAAGCCAATTTTTCTTTTTTTGGCGAAGGAACTGTGGATACAAGAGAACAGGACAGCTACAATAATAGTGGCTTCACAGCTTTTGTTCAAGATTTCTGTAAAAACAGCAGATGTTTGGAAATTCTCCATAAGGGCTCATGACACACCTTCAGACTACTGGTGCAGCAGGTCTCAAAGATCCAGCATGCCCCTGACCAAGAACAAGGTGCATATCTGATGTCCCTGCTCACTGCAGGGAAGGTGGAACCTGACTATCTCTAGA